GAGAGAAAAGAGAGGGGAGAGGGAGAGAGAGGGGGGAGGGGGGGGGGAGGGGGGGGGGGAGGGGAAGAGGGAGGGGGGGGGGAAGGGGGGGGAGAAGGGGGGGGAAAAGGGGGGGGGGGAGGGGGGGAGGGGAGGGGGGGAGGAAGGGAAAGGAGGGGAAGGGGGGAGGGGGGGGGGGGGGGGGGGGGGGGGAGGGGGGGGGGGGGGGGGGGAGAGCGCGCGGGAGCGGATGCACACGCACAGCTTTATGCCAAAAGAAAACAGGAGGGACGAGTGGGGGCGTGTGGGAAAGGAGCCGCCTGCGCCGGGTGTGGAGGGAAGGTCGTGCGGCTAGAGGAGACGACGGAAAATGGATGGAAGGAGCGCAGGCGGCCACGACGCGGCGGGGCGGGCTGCTGTGTGCGTGTGGAGGGGAGAACGGGGGAGGAGGGAGAGGGCTATTGCGGGCTGGGAGAGGCAGGGGAGGAATGGATGGATGCCGGGCGGCCCCATCTGGGCGGGCGCAAGCTTGGTTCCCTCTAAACAGCGTCAGCGAGAAGGGGATTCTCCCGGTGCAAGACTGGGTCCCAGGGGGGGGGGGAGGGAGAGGGGACGGTCTTCCCTAGATGCGAACAGGGCCCCCAGTCTGTGCGCTTCGTCGCTGGCCGGCCGATGGTGGTACAGGCCCTCGCGGGGCAGCGGGCGGGGGGGGGGGGGGGGGGGGGGGGGGTGTGTGGGGGGGCGTGTGTGGGGGGGGGTGGGTGTTGGGGGGTGGGGGGGGGGGTGGGGGGGGGGGGGGGGGCGCCCGGGAGTTTGCCCCCCTGCCCCCGCCCCTCTCCGACGACCGCCGCGGGCGCCCGGCTCGGGAAAGCAATGGCGCGGGCGCGCGGCGCGGTTGGACGCGCGGCTGGGACCCGGCGTGTCGGCGCCACACCCTGGGTGTGAATGCACACATACCCGGACTCGGTGGTGGCCCGCCCTCGCGACCCGGTGACGCATCACACCATGAAAAGGCTACTGACGGTGCGCGGCCCCCAAGTGGATGTGGGAAGCGCGGGGGGTGGCCGGGGCGGGGGCCACTGCCCCCTCTCTGCGCAGAGCGAGGCCGGGGAGTCTGAGCACCAACCCCCGGACCTTCTCTCTCTGGCCGCCGCACTGGCCCGCCGACACACACGTATGTACATGTGCCTCTGCCGCCAGTTTGCCCCGCCCCCCCCCCTCCCGCCCAGGCGTGGCATCGATGCAAGGGCGCCGGCTCCTGAACGGCGAAGCGCACCCCCGGCAAGCAGCCCGCCGTGGCTTGTCCACCCTTCGGTCCCCCCGAGCCCGCGCCAAGTGAATGGGGGCCATGTGCCGGCCACAACCCGCCGACCGCGAGAGAGAGAGAAAGAGAGAGAGAGAGGGAGAAGGAGACAGACACAGAACATGCCGGCCAGGGCCGGCCCCCGGCAGGCAGCCGGCGGACAGGTCCCCGGGGCTCCGAGAGGGCCGGGGGGCAAGGGCGGCAAACGGGTCCCCCCCGCAGGACGTGGCCGTGCCCGGTGTGTGCCGCGGTGCCACACACAAACAAAGGCCCCCGGCCGGATCCCCCAGACACATGCGTGTGTTGCCTCGCTTCGTCCACCAAGAATCTTGTACATTCGCTCGCCACCTTGCCAGCGCACCGCGGCCCTAAGTTACGCACGCGGCGAGGGGGGTGGGGGGGGGGGGGGGGGGGCCGAAGGA